CTGCTTTTAACCCTGGGAATAAACTGCATGGTTTTGCCGTGGAGCACTATCTGACCTTTCTAATCCTAAGCTTTAAGTGAATAGCAAATGCTAATGTTACTTTCTAACATTCATGATCATAACTTTGCTTGCTGGTATTAATCCTTGAAATTTTTAATCACTTACTTTTGCAATCTGTATAGGACCGTGAGCAGTGGACTGCCTTATGCAATTCTCTGGGCTCTAAATGCCACCTTATTGCAGAAGATTTCTGCCGGAATGGGTCCAAACTTCTGGAGGGCAAATGTAAAAACACACCAAAATGCAGTGGTCTCGTCTTAAAACACACCAATGAAGTTAAAATTTCTGATCTTATAGAAATGACCCAGCTTTTAGATGGTGAGGAAAGTACTGAATTTTAAATACATAAATGTAGCCAACATGTTATGTTGGCTACTTACAGGGACAATGTTAGAAGTACTCATCATAGCTTGACAGTAGAGTTCTAGGCTCATGTTTATACTATCTGAAATGAATTTGTCAAAGTGCTAGGCAGAGCCTAGGTTATACAGTATCTTTCTCATAATAATGGTTTACACTGTATATTTGCATTGGCATTTATTATTTTCTAGATGTAAGAAAGCTGAAATCTAATCCTTAGAATCAGAATCAGAAGAACCATGAGCTGGGGAAGCATTTATTTTTTCTATGCAGAAAAGCCAACCTCTATATAGGATAGAAAACATAAATAAAATAGCTCAAATGTAGGAGTGGAAAACCTTTCATCCTAAGGGCTCAGTTCAGTTTCAGAGGGGCTGATGGGTTCTTACAACAAGGTGGGTTCTTACAACAAGGAACTAGCTCTTAGGAGACAAATTTTAATCTTTGAGAAGGAGAAAACGAAACTTCGGAAACCACAAATGTTCAGTGGTTGGGGCAAAGGGGTGGGACCTAGAAAGAGTGTATGGCCATCTGGGGAACCCTAGATTTGGCTCCTGGGCTGAGGTTTTTGGCTCAAATTTACTAATAACTGATGTGCTCAACCTCGTGAACCTTGCCTAGTATGGCCTGATGGAGACAAATACTACTTTTTCCATTATAGAGATGCTCACAACTCAACCCAGAAGTAAAGGAGTTTAAGCCCGTTTAAGTAAGTGGGCTTATGCACTCAACTAAGGCATTGGATTGTGGACAGTGAATTTATCTGAACTAAACAAGGCATAGTCAGAAAAAATTGTATTGTAGCAGCTTGATGCAAACAGCAACTGATTTGGCATGGAAGACAGGGACCGGTAACAGAAGTAACACAAGACTTTTCCATCCTACACAGGTCAAAAACACATTTCCATATTAGGAAGCCCAGATGGAGAGTCTTCTGATGACAGTCTTGCAGACCTGGTAAGTACTGAGAGCCATTCAATTGCTCAAATACTGCTTTTTATCTTGAACTGGCCCATCATAGAAACATTTTCTGTAGTTGAGACACACATAACCTTTCAGGAAATTAGCTTTTTGGGGAAGTAGCCTTTTAAAGAATGTTAATCTTTGAACTTCAAGGGGAAAGCAGCACTATAGGGGACAAAGGGAACACACTGAAGATATGTATTGTCTTTTGCTGACATTTTAAGGTAAAGTTAAATAATTTATTCAAAACATAGAGTGGTAACAAGATTTCTTGTCTAATGGGTCTTAATGGACATGGGCAGGTCTCTTTGTGTTAAAGCATACTTACACAGAGGTTGCCTTTATAAGTAGCCACATTTTAAAATTAATACGTGAATGTTCATCCTTTTTCTTCACCTCACCCCTATTGCCCTTCCTTGACTACCAATGTCTTCTACCTTCTACTTCTCTTCCTTTCAATGATAAACTGCTCACCATTCATTCTGTGTGGATCCCTTTCTTTCAGCAAGGATACCTCTTTTCTTTCCCCATTCCTAGGCTTTCCAGTCTCTAGAACCTGTATGAGTTTCTTTCTAGCCCAATCAGCATGTTTCTTGAGTTGTAGCCTCAACTCAAAGCTGGGAAATTATCACCAAGAATCCACGTTTTTGTCTACTATTATGGGTTATATAAAAAAATTAAACTGTAAACATTAAAAATTAAACTGTAATCCACAACCTAATCTAAACTTGGTGCCTTAAGAGATAAGTTCAGATCATGCACTGGCAGTATTACAAACACCAGTGTTTAATTGTTGCCCTGTATGTAGAGATGAGAATTGTCTATATAGATAAGTGAAGGCTACTTCTAAGTCACCAAGGATTAAATTCGATGGGAGCCATAGGATTCTTCAGAGTCCAAGCACTGAGTCCCTACTCTGCTCTTCCCCACCCCCAAACCAGCATGGAGGTTGCTAAGATCACTGCAGTCACACCTTACCTTTGCTCTTGAATGCAAACAAACATTCAAGTGTGGAGGTATACATGTACTGGCAGCAGTATGTCTTGGCCCACACCCCAAATTAGGTAAATAGCAGTTAATTGATTTCATTGCTTCCCAACTATGGCAGTGTAACATCTGGATTTCTTTGCTTAAGGCTGTTGGACTGGGAACCAAGTTCATCAAACTGGGAGGTCTTTCACGTGGAGAGAGGGTGACCAAATACAACCGACTTCTTGCTATAGAGGATGAGCTAAGCAAGCATGGAAGACTATGTAAAAACCTATTTCTTACTTTGCTTTCACTGTTTAATTACTATAAATAAAAGATTGGCAGAGTTATTGAAATCACTGCAGGATGGCATCAAAAGACTATAAGCACTTGAAGAAACCACAAAGTATATTGTTTTCATAATGAGTTATGTGTTTACCTGAAAATAAGACATTACTTTGGAATAAGCTGCAACAATAACCAATAATCTCTTCTTCAGCAGAATTAATTGGTTGGAATCTTCAAGGTCAATGGAGATCATATTTGTGGGGAAAAAATGCACAGAATTTTAGCTGTAGGCAGATGATGCTTTAAGAATTCCAGCTCAGTGCTTTCTGGTCTTCTATTGAAAGATTTTTTTTTAATGAGAAATTGTTACATGCCAACTACATATTTAATGTATCCATCTAGGGACGGGTCACACTCAAGTGTCAGAACACACACGCTTTACAGGCATTAAGTCCCAGTTTCAATCCATGGCATCCCTGATTATGTCCATCTGTTAAAAGGTGATGGGAAAGACCCTTGAAACCCTCCTACTAATGAACTAGGCAACACTGGGCTTCCTAGACAATGAGGGTTCAGACAACATCGTAATCCACACTCGAGGCTTGACTATGGACTGGGTGTATGCTTGAAATGTGCATTATTGTGTTGTCTGAGCCCAGTCAACCTGCAATTCACAGCCCAACAACAAAGCATGAGTTCTCTTCATGGATTGTCTGCAAATAACATGTGATAGCTTGCTAGCACAACCAGGGTCAGACAACCCATGATTCTACCTGCTTGAGTTAGTGTGAGGTTGGAACCCAATCAATGTCCAAGTATGATTCGTTTTGCCATTAAGCCTGTGGAATTAAACAAAATGAAAAGTCTGAAGATGCTGTTTTCGTAGCCTGACCTGTACAAAATGCTAATGACATTCCAAAAATAATATAGCTGGGTAAAGACCTTTTTATTATCTCAGTTAAGAACGCTGTGTGTCCGTGCGTGTGTCCATGCCTGCGTGTGTGCGTGCTTTTAGTACTCCATTCTGCTGCTAGTTTAAGTGTAGGAATGGTTTCATCATTTCATCTTGGATCCTTTTCTGCATTGTTTTATACTTTGCTTTAATGTTTGAGTTTTATATTTTAATGTACTGTATACCAGCCAGAGAACCTCAATTAATGGGTGATTTGAAATACATGGAACAAGGGTTTGTTTTTTTGTTTTGTTTTGTTTTTGAAAAATCATTGCAACATCATTGGAACTTTTAGTTTTGCATCTGTTTTGATAGCACTAAATCAATCAGCAGAATTCTTTTAAATGCAGGCAGAGAGTATAATAGCCACATAAGAAGGCATAGCACCAACAGATTTAAGGGAATTGGGAGGCCTCTGTGCATTTCCTGTATGTCTATATTTGTTCTTCTAGCATTGGACAGAAATCTGCCTAAGTAAACCTCTTTTTCAAAAAGTTAGCTTTACCATCAAAAGAAAAAAAAATCCAGGGTAGAAAAATGATTAATGGTACTAGAAAACAGTTCTTGCATAAATACTTGAACTTTTAAAAAAATATTCAGGAGATATATTTTCTGTTTCAGGTGATCGAGATGAACATGAATTTGTTGATTTTACTGAAGAGGAAGAAGAGGAGGAGGAAGAGGAGGAGGAGGAGGAATTTGATAGTATTGTTTTTTCTGCAGGGGCAGTATAACCTGCTGTGTTCATATTTCAGATTTGGTATTTGTTCGCTGGAAATAAGCCTAGAATTCTCCATTTGAGAGCACACTGCATCTTCCCCAGGCTGCCACCATGGGGCAGCAGCTGGAATGAGACAGGAGATCAATTGGCTTGTCTCATCTTCTCTAGGATATTTAGAACATAAACACTGTGCTTTCCTGCCCTTCAGCCTCCAAGGCAGCTTAACAGGAACTTACTATACTAGAATACCTTATGCTACTGTTCCTTGTACTATGGGCTCATTCTCATTGTGCCCTTAAAGTTGTTAAGGAATAGCTGTGTTATATTCTGGAAGCAGCTACAAAATCTGCAAGTCATACATGTTTTCATAGTCTGAAAATGTGTTATGGATGTAGATATTAAATAAAGTCAACTCTAATGCAGTGCTTCACTGTGGTCTTTTTTATCCAGAGTAAATTAGCAAAATAATACATATTATTGGTGGAAATGTAGTGGAAGAATGTTGCTGCTGCTATTTTCTCTAGATCACTGTTTAGATTTAGTGCTGGGGAGTGGGAGGAAAAACAGCCAAGAAGCTGATTTGGATCAGCTTAAGTCTACAGCTCCAGCCTCATTCTCTCCCACCATCTGGTATATCCCTTCTTTTCTTCTCTGAGGCCCAGTTGCAACCTTGGGAGGTGGCCAGCCAGAGACATTCTTAGAATCACAGAATAGTAGAGCCAGATGAGGCCAGAGGGCTATCAGGTCCAATCTCCTTCTCATTGTAGGACTCCAAGTGAAATCATCCCTCTCAGATGGCTGTTCAATTGCATTTTGAATGCCTCTTGAGTGGAGAGCCCACCACCTCCCTAGGTCACTGGTTCCACTGACGTACTACTGCATCAGCTATAAGGGCAAAAAGGCTGGGACTTAACCAGATTGTGGGACCTTGGAGTTCGGACTCTGAATAGTCCTTTGGCCTCCCAGACAATGTTAGAAGGCCATAGGATCGCACCTTTATCATTTTGTTTTAAATGTACCAATTTGCATATCAGGTGGAATTTTAAAAGAAATCTGTTCATATGATCTTTCTTTCTGTTCACGTTATAAACAAGTTGTAAACTGCTCAGAAAACTTTGGCTATGAATGGGATAAAAATGAAATCAATGATTGTGGTGGTGGTGGTGAAGATAATGCATTGGTTTTAGTAGTAGTAGTAGTAATGGTGGACAGGAGGAAGGCCATCCAAACCTTTCCAAATGTAGATGAGAGGCAACATTTGAATGTGTGCATGTGAAGATCGTTGGTTGGAGAAAATTTAGCTACTTACAGTTTTTCTATGTGGCAAGAATCCTTTTTCTTGTAAAAAACGAAACTGGCTTGGCATAACACTGGCACAGTTTCCCTTGGCAAGGGAACCACTATATTTGAGTGCATAGATTTGTTCCCAGGCCCGCCTCTTCCCAAAAGCACTGCATTCTACCCTCACCACTTTGTGTCCCTGCACCTAAAAGCAAACGAGTGATTTTGCAGGCCGCATGCACATCTTTTTCCAGCTGTGCAAGGGGAACAACAGTCACAAAAACAGTGCTTAGTTCTGCCCTCTATATAACGGTGTCCGGTCTGGCATTTCATTATTCATAGCCACCCCAATACGTTTCTGGTTCTTCCTTTTGGGTCCTAATATGAGCAATGATATATGCTGCATCATATTACCTCAGCTTCAAGCTGGGAAGGGGGACTGGGACAAAGGAAAACAGCACAATGTCTAGGAAAAAGTCAAGTCTTTTCAATAAACAGCATTAAAAGAAATAATTTATATAGTATAACAAATATTTTTAACTAGAAATAAATACATTTTTGATTTCTTTTACATTTCTTAGTAGTAATTCAAGGAAAAATCTGCTTAGAAATTACCTCATTCAATTCAATGTAAACAAACTAATATCTAAGTGCAAAATCAATTATAGGAAAATAAACCTACTGAAGGATAGATTCACAAGAACCACACATGGACATGTTTCCCTGTATTTATGCAATCATTACTTGACTGATCAGATTAAGTCTGATATTTGTTTAACAAACATGCAAAAGAGAGAGGTCCTTATACATATATCTATCACTAACAGTCCAATCATATACATGTCTGTTTGAAAGTAAGCCCTGCTGAGTTCCAAGGTATATACTCACAGGTACATGTATAGAGGCTTAGGCCTTTGGGTGCAACTCTGTGCAAGTTTATATAAAGCAAAGGCTTCTCACTGGAGTTTTCTGGGAGCTCTAGGCCTCTTTTTCCCTATCTCAACTTGCATAGGATTGTGCCTTTAATGATTTTCTCCGCAGAGATAAGCTACATACATACAAAATACATACAGAGCCAAGCTAGCAAACTAAGCACTTACATTCTGTATTTCTAACTACTTTTATCACATTTTACTGCATTCAGGAAGATTACCACCCAAGTTCAAATGCACATTAAATTGCTAAAGGTGTGTTTATTTAAAGTAAATTTCCTAATCACACTTCTTACTACAGCATGGAAACCTGTTGATTAGGAAAACACCAGTGAGCTATGAATTTGCAGGCAAGACAGTAGTTCACACATTTCTCACTGTCTTCCCTGAGGACACAAATGATGACCAAATGTGTTATTTCATTAGGAGGGTAAAAGTCCATCTTGCAATACACGCACAGGTATCTTTCTACAATAGACGAAGAGAGAGATGCTTGCTGTTCTGGGCCTGATGGTGATTAACTTTGGGCACATAACAACAAGGTTGGGTCACAAAGAACTCTGCTCTTATAAGCCCCAAGAGTTGCAAATGCGGCTATGAGGTGCAAATGCAATATGCGGCTCTAGGCTCAGGGATAGTTCTGTAGCCGTCCCAAGGCACAGCCTGTTGAATGCTGTTGAATGTGTAGCAGCATTCTCTGGAGTGGAACGACATTCTAATGCCTTTTCCTGGAAGCATTAGCCCAATTGTGAGGCCACTGTGCAGTTCCAGAGTACGTATCTATGCAGATATTTTTTTGGCCATCAAGATTATGCACAGGTACACACACATACGCCTCCACTGTTGCTATGCAGAAATAGTTTTTGGTGCTCGCTACATGGACAAACATATCTCCACTGTCATGCTTTTTTGAAAGTACATTGCAGAAATAATTTGTCACACAGCAATGTGAAATCAAGGCAAGATTAGTATGGGTGTGGTCTTGTGAAAGGACTTTGCATCATTGTGGCTGTTGGAAATGAAGCATGCATTGCTGTGGAAGTTTGGTCATGAGCTAAATATTTAGCTAAAAATTTAGCTGGGAATAAAATGGCACAGTTTTGTCAAGCTGTATCAAAATTGTAAAATAGACTTAATTTCTGATTGCCCCCAAAGGGTGCGGTAGACCTAAGAAAGATACATAGAGATGATACAGTAAAATCTTGTTTGGAGGATTGGACTCTACATCTGCCTAGGACTGGGCCCTTAGGTTTCAATTATATGTCAACTTACTTGGGAGTAACCCCACTGAATCCATGGGAACTGTGTAGATACCAATGGGGAAACACTATGAGGTGACTAACTGTCTAACTTACTTGATTAAATACAGGATTGATTAAAAAGATGCCCTAATTAACTGGACACTAGATTGAAAAAGACAGGTACTTTTAATATAAGACTTTAGAAACACAGTGCAGTGGTACCTTGGCTCATGAACTTAATCTGTTCCATGACTTTGGTCACGACCGAAATGGGTCATGAGCCTAATCAAATTTCCCCATATGGTTCAATGTAAATAAGGTTAATCCGTTCTGTAACCGTTTTTTTTTTTTAATCTCAAAAATTTGAAACAAAGTGACAAAGAACAACAAAGATCGGGGCTATCTCCCGCCCCCCCCCACGAGCATGATTGCAGCCATCACCTCCCCACTGAGTACGACCGCGATCGTGCCAATGCAGGGAAGACGGGCACGATCGAGTTGGTCACCCATTGTGGAGTTTACAACCTGAGGCAATTTTTTCTGAAATTTCTGTTTGTGACCCGATTTGGTCGTGAACTGAGGCATTCGTGAGCTGCGGTACCACTGTAGTAGTAGGCATCTTTTAAAAGAGGCATTGTGTTCTATGCCGAAAGAAAACCCTCTGCTGTGATTTGATCTGGTAGAACATACTCATAAATAAGCTAAAAAGCAAGGGAACCCATTTTTTCCCTTCTAAGGTATATGATCTTCATATGCAAATATTTACACATTTAAACTGATCAATCAGCCTTCCTTAATGAATGGACTAATGTACTACTATGTTTCCCAAATGTTGTTCTGATTTTAATGGGAGTTACTGCCTAGTAATGTTTAGTAAAGATCACTAAGGCAGTTGCTCACATTTTCATGAGCCTTGCAAAGTCCCCAGCAAAACTGTGTCTTATATTTAAAGCAAATGATCTATGGTTGCCCCTATAAGTAACACAAGTACATTTGTGCGATTGCCTAATTGAGGCTTGATCTATTTTCTCAGATCTGTTTAAGCAGGCTTTGCATCAAAACCCTAAACGAGCCATTAATGTAAATCAAAATCATCAAAATAAATACTGATATTTTGCATTTTTAAGAAATAAACATAATTCTGAAACAACAATAACAACCTGCTGTAAAAGGAAAGGTGCAAACTAAGACTTTGGATTGTGTATAACTAAGTTAGTTTCAGTAAACTAGTTTCAGTTTGGATTGTGTATAACTAAGTTCAGTTTGGATTGTGTATAACTAAGTTTTAGTTTCAGTTTGGATTGTGTATAACTAAGATAGTTTCAGTAAACTATCATAGACACATTAGGGGTATAGAATGTAGCCCTTCCCAATATACGAACAAAACAACTAACAAACAATTACTGAAAAGAACTTCCAAAACTCACTGCCTTTCAACACATCAGTTAGCAGTGAGAGCTGTCTCTCTCTTTTGTTTTCTCAACACCAGTGTCTTCATGAAGTTGTTGACCTTCTTCAGTCTTCTTGCCTTGATCCATGTGTGCAGGCGCTTGCTCTTTGGTTTTCTCAGGATTCAGCAGGACTGTGGATTCTGCCTGCTTTACTAGACCAGCTACCTTGTTTTCAAGCCCCACACTGCTTGATGACCTGAAAGACATGACATTTATTTTGAAAGCATAAAATACAGGAATACTGCATTGTGCTTGCAAAACCTTGGGTGCAAGGGGCAATCAGCCCATGGACTCGAGTACTAACACATATGTTCATGAAATTGCAACTATTAAAAATGACAATACTTTATTCATGTGCTTGTGGCCTCAGTTTTTAGTTCTGGGTCAACCTAAAGCATTATGATGGAAGCAAATGGGACCAGTTGTGAAGGTCTCAATTAACTTTTTCTAACAGCAGGTACCGTTTCACCTTTCACTAACCAGGCACTATAACCTGATCTAAACACAGTAAGTTCATAGAAGTTGGTCCCAATACAAAGCATCTATGAGGCCATTTTTTTCTCCGTAGGGATTCCTTTGTCACTGGCCTTCTTATTAAGGAACCATTTAAGGAGGTTTCTGGAATTAGGATGCAATAGGAGCTGTAGCAGCTACTCCATATCCACAATACTGGTTATACGGTTAAAGATCTTGGAGCTAAAGTTTGCTGGTATTCGGTGTGAAGCCCATTGTGTTTCAGACATACCCATTCAAATAGATCATTTCTATTTTGCTAGATCCCCTGATGAGATCTGATGAGATCATAGTAAGTCTGATTATGTATAATATGTTAGTTCTTAAAACAGGATTATAGTAAGTAAACAATAATATATTTTTGAAAAAGAAATAAGGAATAAAATGCTGACATCCATACATTTTCATTTAGCTAGCTTTCCGATCACATCCTCTATTGCCTAAAGCAAATATAAAAAAAGAAGAAACCTAGGCAATATTTTCTTCCTGTATATAAAAAAAGCATTTTGTAATTCTGTTTTGTTTTGAGTCACATGCCTTACAGTCTACAATAGCCTTCACCCATCTGGTACCCTTTGCATGTTTGGGATTTCAATTATCATCAGTTGGGCAACAATAAGGACTCACTGTAGTTCAAAAGATCTGGAGGGTTCCAGGCTGAGGAAGAGTGGCTTATGCAATTAAGGGGGCAGCCCTAAATACACTTAAAGGGAATGTGTCCCACTGAATGCAGCGGGATATGAATCCAAGTAAACACACATAGGAGCAACCTGCTTGCATGACAAAGCTATGAAAGGAGATCTGCTATCTGTACCTTACAATCGCTACCTGCATTACAACTTACCAGTAATGGAAATTAATGATAGCAAGTTTGGTTTACATGTTCCCTTTGGCTTGAAAAAAGTTGGGAAGGTGTTTATGCTTGTCTCACTTGTCAGTTGGAACTGAGGATTTTTTTTTAAGTTGTTTTTTATCAGCTGGGGAAACTTGGCCATCTAGTTGTGCTGTTGAGTTAAAACTTTCTAAGTGCTAGTAATAATAATGCTGCCCATGTATGTATCATGTTGTTCTCTTCTGATTGATACTTCGGGTTCATCTCTGCCTGCCTTTTTGAGACATGTGAAAGCTGTTCTTGTCAGACAGACTTTTTGGGTTGTAAGCTGGTTTGCTTCATTTTTCACCCTGTTGATAAAGATTTCCATAGTTCTGAAAAGGCGTATCAGTGTGTTTGTCTTGACTATTGAATCTAAACACTGAAGTAGAATCTGGACTAGCATTATTGTGACTATTAAAGGAACAAGAGGGGCAAAATATTAAAGAATTTATGAAAATTTAGTAACAGTAGTAAGATTAATAATAGCAAGGAAATGGAAAGTAAAAGGTGATTATCAAATAAATGATTGGTATAAAGAAGTTTAGAATATAGCCATTAATAATTAGTTAACTTGTGCTATTAAGTGGAAGAAAGATTTGATAAGTGAAAATAATTTTGAAGATATTTGGAAACCATTTATTGAATATGGTTTCATAAAGGGAAAGGGGTGTGAGCCATCACAAGATTCAATGAAGTTCTAGAGTAGGAATGGAGCAACCTGAGCAATTAAATGATTTTACATTAAGTAGCATGTACACATTGGTCCTGGTGGAGCACTGTTACTATTGTATTGTTTAAATATGTTTATTATTACCATATCATTTGTATAGTTGCATATTTGTGTAAGTATGGGTTTTATTTTTGTTAAAATCAAATTCAATAAAAATTTTAAAAGTTTGCTTGCCTTAAAAATTTTAAAAGTTTGCTTATTTTTATCGTACATTACCATCTATAGTGTTATGAAAATACATTTTTTGTACAGACATTCTAACTAAATGCATCCACTAACTAAACTGTAGAGACTGGTTGCATTATGAGATTCTGATGATGCTGGCATCCTGTCGGGGCACTGACATTTATCCAAGCTGAGGTTTTTTATGGCAAGAGAATGCTATGGTGATGAGTTCAAATGGTTTAGGTCAGAGAAAGGGAGGGTGTCTTAAAATTGGGGGCCTACGTTATCCAGCCAACATACCACAATGACTGATGATGCAATTGTTAAATGTCAAATGATAAAAGATGAATCATTTGCAACTTGATTATGTATTGGGGCAACTGAGGTGCAATGCTGAAAACTGGGTAGGGAAACCTAGAGCTACTTGCTCAATGTGGAGCCTGTCTTTTGGTACCAAATAAAAACTGCTTTATCCAGGCTTTTCAGGTTTCTTTTGGCACTAATTACATACAATAAATAACCTTGCTTGACAATGTATAGCCATGGCAAACCTCCTCTTGTAAAAAATTCATACAGGTATCAGCAGAGATATCAGTTGCAGAACGATTATATAAGCTTTTAGAGGAACTGGAGGCCATTTGGAAATTCTGTTCCTGGATATGTTAGTTGTCAGTATGGAGGAAAAAATGATTGATGTGATATGTCCTGTGATTATGGACCAGTTCAGGCAGTGGCTGCAGAAGAAATGCTACTCAGCAAGGCAAAGTGAAGTAGACATTTCTGTGATTTCATTGGCTTAGGCTGTCATGCTGTTTGGGGCATGTTGTGAATGAAAGGGCTTTTTTCCTGCTTAAACACAGATAGGATTGCACCCTTAAAGCACTAAATTCTGCCATTTTATCAGGTGAAAGCTGGTTCACAGAAACAGCCAACTCATCCTGCAAGAATGTTATCCTCTAGGACTGACATCTTCAACAAATGGATATTTTGTAACAGCAAATGGTGCCTCTCTTTGGTGATATTCTTGGGTTCTCATTATGCACACTGCCATTAGCTCAGAAACTGGCCCCTGGGAGATCCAGCTGATAATTGTCCAAACCCTAAAACTTTCTGTGTAAATTCTACCCAGCATTCAGGATTATTTCCTTCCTGAAAATGGAAAACATTTTTTTAAGATGATGGTGAATTCAACTCTGAAAGCAACATAACAACAAGTGAGGTATTTTAGAAAATGCTACCCCTGAAACCTGATTGCCCCAACACTATAAAAATGGTCAAAGCCATAAATGCCAAGGTCCATTTTATTTCACTTTGAAGGTAACTATCTTTCAAGTCTCAACAGCTGGACTATTTAACACAATCTAGTGAATCAGAGTATAATTCTTCACTGGTCTCTCCATGGGGACCCTGCATTAGTGGATGGCAGCAATCCAACGACTGATGCACAGCCAAATAATGTGAAGCCTGAAAGCAATCATATTTATCACCTTCAAGGACAGAAAAATGGGAGATTCAGGTCTGTCAGTATAACACAGTTTAATGGCAAAATCCCATGATTAAGATGTTGTATGTTATGGCACAAACTGTAACTCAGGGTGCCTTTGGTGCTTCCCTACTGAAAGTCTGTGCTTTTTAAAAACGCAACTGCTGTTATTTATGGTGCAATGTGATTGTTAAAAACCAGAAAATCTCTCTCAAGAGTTTATTGCTGCCTTAATAAAAGGAACCCTGAGCCACAACTTCACACAGGAAAGTCATAGATCAAAACAGGCTTTTGGATGCTGTATAAAATGATATAATCCACTAAAGCTACAGTGCACACACCTGCCCTTGGCGCTTCACTGCAATGGGTAGGGCTGGAAGAAGAGATAGTCGCAGAAGGCAGCACTCCATTCCTAATTTATTCCAGAACAGTCTCAGTAGTAGTAGTGAAACTTTTGTGTTTTACTCTGGAGTAAGCGTCAATACAAATTAAAATGATTTTAAAAGCCCAGTTTGTACAATCCTTATTTTAAGTTGTAGAAGAAGTGTTTGCTTTCAATCCTCTCCATTTTATTGCTATGAATAATTAAACAAACATTTTCTGGTCTCAGGACCAATTTATATGGAATAGCATTTTTGTTATTATGGATAAATGGCATATACTATTAACTTCTAGTTCTATGCCACATTCCCATTAAGAACATTGCCCAGGAAGTCAACATGCAAATTAACAGTTGTGCACATACCTATTTAAAACAAAGCAAACATTTTTGAAGAGGGCACATGTAACCTACATTTACATAATAGCAGCACTGAATCCACATTTTCAACAATAACTAAATGCTGTTAACCTATGAATTGAAATCTAAATGCATGTTTAACCAAATAAACAGTAGAAATCTAAGCATTATTGTGAACGCTTCCAGTCATAATTATTATCAAGCAAGAATCTCTAACACTCTTCCATTTTAAACAAGCACTTATACATTTCAAAAGAGAGCAAAGACCATTAAAAGCAAGCAAGAAAAATGATAATATATTCCACATGAGAGTCAATGCTATAGGTCACCTATTCATAATCCTCAAATAAACCAAAGCATTAGCCCAAACAGCAAAGATAAATTAAGAGACAGATACCTGTGTTTAGGTTTTCTTTCAGTGAAATTGTATGCATATATCTTCTTGTTTGTTTATTGCACCAGTTATATCAAAAACTGATGGCAAAATTCTAATAACAAAATACATGCCAGTGTGATAAACAAAAATATTTTTATGAGTTAAAGAAGTAATTAAAAGACTTTTATTTTGCTATAGTAATGGGCCCTGAATAGAAATCCTAGCTACCTGAAGAAAAATAGCTGTAAAAATCACCCCTTCATTTTATTGGTTCTAAGAGGATGGTCACCTCATGATCCTAATCCTAATTTCATGT